TAGAGATCTGTACTCTTGATGCAGCAAGAGATGGGGCAGGCTGTACTTTTGCCACCTGTACCTGCATCTGTCCTGTTGTCTACTCACCTGCATGCGCGATACACCTGGAGTCCTACAGGAGGCAGGACCTGGAGGTGGTTTTGTTCTCTCACTGCATATGGGGATTTAAATGGGCATGCAGGTATCTTTACAGATCAGCTATAAGTAAAAGAGAGCATTGCCTTGGACCTCATCTGGCAGTAAGATTAGAATGAAGCTTTATGAAATGGAGGGATGCTGCTGTTGAGGGTATCCTTTCTGGTGCTCGTGAAAATGGGCGAGTTTTTCAAAATTTGTCTAAAATACTGCACAAGCATTTATTCTGCTGGGGTAGTATAAAAGAGAAGGCTCGGTCTTTCTAAAAGGTCAGAAAATATCACGAATGTTTTTAAATATTTGAAGGCTTAAGACAGCGCAGTGTCATGGCACTAATCAAATCAATTCACATTCTATTGTTGAACCAATTATATCATCACAAACTTCTGCTCAAACATTAGAACAGAAAGAGAACAATATTACAGCTGTTTTCTGTTAGCAGCAGCAAGGGCTTGCAGATATGTCAGAGCAAAAGAAAAGAAAAGAAAAAAAGATTAGAGGTCGTTACAATTAACTACTTTTGACACTTCAAAACGCAATCTCTATTTCAGAGCTGCCACAGCCCATTTTGCCAATATATAAGGAACAATGTTAGACAACAAGCTTATAAAGGCTATCAATATTAGCCAAATCAGATAAAAAAATCTTTCCCTTGCATCATCACATACGGTATAACGAAGAACACAATGGCAAATATTTTAAGGTGTGTGAGCCCAGCTTATATAGAGTGTTTGATCAGGGTGTGATAATAAAATCGCACTGGTTATAGGGTGTTACTTTAAGTGCAAACAAAGTGTTATGGATGACAGCAGACCCTAGTAGATAGAAATAACTCTCAAGGAGATGGGCAATTTAACTTTTAATATAGCAGACAGAGTATGAAAATGCTGACATCTGAATCAAGTCCGTATCTTAAACTATTCAGTCTCTTTTTAAAATTAATGCCTGTATCGTGTCCATGCACCAGTGACTTAAAGGTTGTACATTAATATTAATATTTTTTAACATTTGATTTTTGCACAAGATTGTCCAGCTATTCCTAGATACATTTTGCAATTATTTTTTAAAAAGATGTTAGACATAAATTACAGGGCACATTGTTAAACTGCTCTAGGAAACATTTCCTTGGGAGTTACTTCTAATCCATTCGAAAATGCCCTGTATATGACATGAAGAATGACAGACACACAATTTAAACATGCATAAAGCCTACTTTGCTTCTTGCTGAACTACCTGTTGTGGTTCCAAGCATTTGTTCTGTGGAACTTTGAGCTGGTCTGTCTCCATTTGTCATGGGGACTGATCATTCACAGCCCATGACATTTATTAGAACCATTGCCCATATGACCCTCCTAAAAATAATGGAGGCATTAGTGGTGATTTTTAAAAGCACACTTCTCCAGCAACAAAATACCATGAGCTTGATTCCGACAAGGAGAGCATATCAAACCCCTCTTGCACTAGACCATGTGTCTGTTGGATTAAGTGGAGGAATCCCTCTACCCACCTCTCCTAGCTGAGCTGGCTTGCCACGGGCCACCAAACATGCAGTTAGGAGGCATACATATATATATGGCATATATATCTCTGCTGGTGAAGTCCAGCAGTAAGCACTGAAATGGACCATTCCAAAGGATGCGGGGCTGAACTGGTCCTGGATCTGCTACATCTCAAACTAATGTCAATGCTTTCACATTCCAGCTTTTGGCCCATTTTGGAGCTGGCATAGGGGCCGGGCCTGAACATCTCTCCCCCCACACACACACCCTCTGCTGCCATGACAGCCATGAGTGTCTGGGCCATAGATGCAAAGTCCCACCAGTGGAGGTTAGGACTGCAGTCAAAGTCACACTTGAGTCCCATCGAAATCAATGGGAATAAAGGTAGTTATAACCAACTTGTGCCATTGGTTTCAAAGGGTCTAAAGAATGACCAGCTTGGTCTAGATCCAACTCTAAAGTCTGAACAGTGAGAAAATGCTGATTTTTCCACAACAGGCATGCCAGATGAAGGAAAGATGCTCGGAGGATAGAGCAGCATATTCATTCCTTAACAAAACACTAACATTGAAAGACCAATAGCAACTTTGTGCCCAAAAAAAGGGAGCTGCTGAAGAAGACCTGTGGTTAGGACAACTGGCCTTTACGGCAGAATAAAATAAAAGTTAATTGGGACTTAGTCATTAAGTTCCACTGGTTTAGCCATGGCTAATCTTTGCTTTTTGTCCCATTGGCTAAATCAGGAACAGAGGACCTGTGGCCCTTCAGATATTGTTGGCTACAGCTCCCATCATCCTTGACCATTGACCCCACTAGCAGAGGCTGATGGGAGTTGGAGTCCAACAACATCTGGAGTAGTGGTTCTCAATCTGTGGGTCCCCCAGATGTTGTTGGACTACAACTCCCATCATCCCTGAGCTCTGGCCTTGCTAGCTAGGGCTGATGGGAGTTGTAGTTCAACAACATCTGAGGACCCACAGGTTGAGAAAGGCTGATCTGGAGGGTCACAGGTTCCCCATCTCTGGAGTAGATCCAAAGTTGCTTTTTCACTTCTTATGTAGTTTAGCCCCCATTCTCCATTCCCAGTTGAAACGAAGCTTAAGGATTTTCAATGGCACATGCTCACAGTCTCTGTCTCCCTTTCCTCCTCTCTCACCATCAGAATTTACATGCAACTACATTTAATCAAAGGGACATGGGTGGCGCTGTGGGTTAAACCACAGAGCCTAGGACTTGCCGATCAGAAGGTCGGTGGTTTGAATCCCCGTGGGGTTAGCTCCTGTTGCTTGGTCCCAGCTCCTGCCAACCTAGCAGTTCGAAAGCATGAAGTGCAAGTAGATAAATAGGTACTGCTCCAGCAGGAAGGTAAACAGTGTTTCCGTGCGCAGCTCTGGTTCGCCAGAAGTGGCTTAGTCATGCTGGCCACATGACCCAGAAGCTGTGTGCCAGCTCCCTCAGCCAATAAAGCGAGATGAGCGCCGCAACCCCAGAGTCAGTCACGACTGGACCTAATGGTCAGGGGTCCCTTTACCTTTACCTTTACATGTAATCAAACCCTGATGGACCCTCAGGTGTGTTGTTGTTTTTTCCAGGAGGGAAATCTAATTTGGGGGTAAAGGCACTTAGAAGCATGGCCAATGGTCAGAGAAGATGGGACTTGTAGTCCACCAAAATCAGGAAGACACCACATTGGTTGCTTCTGCACATTGCTGGGCCACTGGAAACCCAAAATTTCAGCCAGAATTTGGAGGGGCATTTGGAGCAATAGGAGAATTTTGCCTTTCAGGGATAAAGGGAAAATTTATTGGGAGCAAGGAACAATACTAGCCTGTGCTCATGCGGTGGTCTTACAGCAAATATTTGCTACTCACACCTCTCCAAACAGAGGCCACAGGAGCACCAGTACGTTTTGGATTCCTGCCCCTGAAATTCCTTCTCTCTCCCCTCTGAAAAAACAACCCCCTCTAATTCTGCAGTCATTTTTGTAACAGACCAATCTTAAATCTACCTGTTTGGTCCTTTGTTTATTTATATGTATAATAGGATGGAAGAAGCAGGCAAGCCTGCAAGGCTTTCATCCAAGAGTTAAAGGGTATATTGAGTTATACAGTTGGGAAAATAGATATTCAGGACAATGTAGTTAGTAATAATCCTGAAATGTCCTTTTCAAGTGACTGCTGTACCCAGATAAACTCAAGTTCCGTATCATCATGGCACAGCTACTCTTTGACCGCACTCTAGCTTACAAAAAGCCCTTGGACCCTTTTATTCTCCAAGGAACTGGCACAGCCCTGTGACTTGGGTGAAATGGGTCAGATCAAATGAACACAGTGAACCATCACAGAATAGGACCAACCTTTTGCAACAAGGACTGAATATTTCAGCAGTTTTGTGTTCTCCCATTTCAGTTTCCCATCCTTACAAGGTTTTCTTTTCCCCTTCCAGATTTTCTCTGGCACAACGAAGAGGTAATGCTGGGATACACACGTCATATACAGTGGCTCTCCAGCGGTGCAAAATGCAAGCCTGTCTCATTGGGAGAGACTTTAGAAGCCATTTTTGAAAGTTAACAAATAACCTTTTGACTCTGATTTCCAGCGCAGGTGTTGGTTCCTGCAGGGTAGAAAATTCACATGCAAAATCCAATTTATTTTCAATAATCATTCTAATTGAATTTGCAGGCCTTAAACCTCAGCAGGTATAAGATTAGCAGTCACTGGAGCCAGCCAAGATTGTGCTCCTCCACATTTTCCACCATTCTGCCATGAAAACCTCCAAATTCTGCAGCCAAATATCAAAGTCATTTAACAAGCTAAATACATGTACAGTTTACTCCACACACCTCAGTTCATTCTGCTTGCAAAATCTGAGTTTTCATAGAATTGCAGGAAAGAAGTTGGACATGGGGGGGGCTGGTTCTGAGGGCCTCCACATGATGTTGGGCCAAGGAGACAGTGAACTAGGGTTGCTGGTGCCCATCATCTTCTCTAACCAAGCTAGCAGAGGTGGTCTTGGGTATGATTTTCGAGGAACCCAATATGGCAGTTCCTCCAAATGATCCTGGGAGCTATAGTTTGCTAAGGGCGTTGGGAATGGTACACTGAGAGGTAAACTACAGTCCCCATTATTCTTGAGAGGACGTGAGCCATATGCTTTAAATGTACTGTGTGGATGTGACCTCAGTTTGCTTTCAACCTCCATAAGAGATGCTATCCATGGTACTGAAACTCTTGACCTGCCTTGCTTCAGAGGCTGCACTGCAAAGTGAAGTCTTGCACTGCCCAGCTCCTTCAAGGCCCTGCAGCAAGGTGGGTCAAGAGCAGCAGTTCTCCAAGTCTTCAGGCAGGGGGCTCTCCCATCCCTAGCTGGAGATGCCAGGGACTGAACCTGGGACCTTCTGCGTGTAAAGCAGGAGTTCTATCACCACTGAAGGTCTTTCTTGGCAGACCTTCATAAACATCGGTTAGATAGAAATGGAGCAAATACAGCTCCATTTTCAGTGTACATTTTCAAAAGCAAGAATTGGGTGTTTTGCTCAAGAATGGAAATGCTGCTCCTGCCTCTGAAATTCTCAACAGGTATTTTGCCCGTGGTCAGAGCAGAGAGCTGTTCAGCATCCAACGTTGATGTCAAATGACAGAACTTGCTTGTTTTCCAGCTAGACCACAAAAGAACAAATCCAAAGGCAAATGCAGAAATGAAATAGTGATGTCACCAAGGCTTTCATGGGAAAAGGAGGAGCAATACACTGAAAGCTATTGTTGAATATGTTCCAAGCATGGTAAGGCTCTGCACAGGCATATACAGAATTAGCAGTGACCCTGCTGTGAAGGCATGCTCATTACCACTGAATCATACATAAAACCTTTTCACTCAGATTAAGCTCAGGGGAAGCTTGGTTTTGGGGAGAAACTGAATTTGCACAGCACCAATTGGCTGGCCTTCATATAAATTGTGCAGCTACCTCAACCCTTCTCAAAGTAGGGCTGTATACAGTTCTGAGTGGCTGGCCTTTTCGTTATCCATACAGATACTTCTCTCTCTTTTTGTTTGAAGGTATTTTTTTTAAGAGTAACAAGCAATTTAAAACAGATTTTTCTAAAAAGACACCAATAACAAAGTGCCTAGAATGGTCGGATGAATGTGCAAGGGGCTTGAAAACGATAACAAAAGCAGCTGGCTTCCTTGCCTAAAGCATTGCGGGATTTTGGAAGCAAATAGGAAGAGGCACCCTGAATTTGACGTGGAGGCTGCACATTGGAGCAGGGACAGGAATCCTGCAGCCGTCCAGTTGTTTCTGGACTCCAACTCCCATTATTCCTGGCCTTTGCCCATGCTGAGCTGGGGCTGATGGGAGCTGGAACCCCACAACATCTGGAGGCTGCAAGTTCCCCACTGCTGCATTAGGGCAAAGGCAGGAAGAAGTAGCTCACCCCACAGCAGAAAATCCCACAACTGCTCTTGTTTGCTTTCATGTGTCCTACTTTTGCCATCCTCTATCTGATGGGCTGTCCAGTCAAAGCCTGATTAAAGGTAAAAAGCCAACTGCAAGAAGAGAAAGCAGGAAGAGCCTTGAAGTTGTCCATCACCATATTTAGCACCTGGACAGCAGACCGATCAGATACATAGCTTGCCTCGCCACAGTTCCTTCCTACCCACTCACCCCCATGGTATTTATTGCAATCCTATTTAAGTTGGGGGGGAGAGTTTTGGTCCTGCAGATACTGCAGGGCTACATTCCCACCAGTGGCCATACTGGCTGGGGCTGGTGGGAGTGAATATCCAACAGCTGGAGAGTCATAGGCCATTTTAGGCAAATCTGTGTTCTCTCTTCTGGCCCCTGTATTCCAGTTATGTGTATAGTCACTTTAAGTGTTGCCTGGACTGCAAAATCCACAGCCCGCAAACCACAATCCACCTTGCAACTCAGCAGGCTGCATTATTAACTTACCTGCAGACCTTTCAACCACTACATTTCAAGGAGATCTGGGAGTCAAACCAAACCAGTTAGTTTTGAACTGAGCAAAGTAATGTTTGGTCCAGCGTCAACTTCAAGTTTTATTGACCCATGAAAAGAATGCATTCCACCCTACGTGCTCTGCTTCCCTGTCAGAAACACACTCCCAGAGTAGACTAGCTTTGAGCAATTACTTGACCCCCGGCTCCCTCTTTGGAATTTCCAGAGAAGATTTGTCAGAAAGGCAGGTGGACGCTTATATATACACACCTCAGTGACCTGAATTCTGCAGGCTGTGCAAAAGGAGAAGAGAGTCCTGGCGAGAATGAAAAGGAGTAAATCAGAGCTTTGAGGTGAACAATGCAGAGCCATTAACTCCATTGATTGCCTTTCAGCTCTGAATCAGCTGCAGATGTAAAACAGGACAGAAAACTCTGGGAAACTTGAAAAAAGTAGCCCCAGCTAAGCACTCCTCTCTGTGTCCCCAGTTACGTACCTGCTTCTTGTGGCATCATGGACCCCGGAGTATGAATTGGATCTGGAAATGCAGGCACATTTATTCCTCTATATTAAACATTCGGGGTGTAGGGTGGGGAACCAAATCACACAACCAAACCAAATAGTCCACATACAATTAGAGCTGAAATAAAATAACATCCACCCGCATGCCTGGGACTTGAGATTTGGAACTAATAACCGCTGCCCAGAAAATAATAATCTTATTTTCCTACAGCTTTAGAAGGATGTGAATTTTAAAACATATTCTCTGTTCCATCAGCTGTCATTCTGCTTGGCCATTATGTAACTTTAATATACCTGAACTGGCTCCCTTCCCTCTTCCCCTTGCCCCTTTCTTCCTTAAACATCATGTCTACTAGATCGTAACCCATTCTGGCAGGGACCTGTCTGTTTTCTATTATTCTGTAGTGCTTAGCTGAATTTTAATTAGAAAGGGGGTCTCACACCTAAGTTCTGAGCAGTTTGCTCTCTTGCCTGCGTGCCTTTTCCCACAACACTTTTGATGCCTTGAACAGTTTCCTTCTCCATCAAGCTGCTCCCTCGCCATCTTCAAAGGTTTAATTAAAACCTACTTCTCCTGCAAAGTCTCCCTCTCCTTCTCTCTCGCTTGGAATCCATCCCTGTAATGCTAAAAACTCTGTATCGAGGTGACAACTGGATTTTTAAAAAATAACAACAAAGTAGCTTCATTAACCAAGAGCCAAACCGTAACACAGCAATCGATTGGGAGTCCCAGATCTCACTTGTCAGCTGTCATACACAGCAGCTGTCATGCCACTCATCAAGATTCTGTTTCTCTAAAGCACAAGTGGGGAACCTGCAGCCTTCCATAGAATCATAGAATCATAGAATCATAGAGACCACAGGGCCATCGAGTCCAACCCCCTGCCAAGCAGGAAACACCATCAGAGCACTCCTGACATATGGTTGTCAAGCCTCTGCTTAAAGACCTCCAAAGAAGGAGACTCCACCACACTCCTTGGCAGCAAATTCCACTGTTGAACAGCTCTTACTGTCAGCTCCACTGTTCAACTCCAACTCCCATCAGGCCCAGTCTGCACTGCCAATTATCGAGGCTGATGGGAGTTGGAGTCCAACAAATGTTCCAAAGGCTAGAGCACACCTCCTCTGTGAAGTGCACTAAAATATTCACAGAGACAAAACATCACCCTTTATGTGCCTTTTGCTTCCACTTCACCTTCCTCTCCCATACCCTCACTTGCTTTATTAACAGTACAATCCTAATCATATCTACCCAGAAGCAAGGCCTATTCATTTCAGTGGGGTTTACTCCCAGGTAAATGGGATTAGGACTGCAGCCTGAATCCTTTTCTCTCCCTCTGCTCTGTCTTGCTAATATACATCCCAGTCCTCCCCCCCCCCCACACACACACCACCACCAAGTGTTTTCAGTGAGGTTTACTTTATGACGCCAATATTTTATTTCTTGCATTTGTGAGTAATTTACCCTTCTTCCAAGCTCAGAACAGCATTTTTGTCTCATAAGGACTCATGGTGTTAGTTGAGAATGCACTGGAGCAAATCCACACCACACATTTAAACATGGAAACTGTAGTTTGTTAAGGTGCTGGGAACTGCATCTCTGTGAGGTGGTAACTACAGTTCCCAGGATTATTTGGGGGAGGGGAGCCATGTGTGTTAAATGTGTGCTAGATGTGCTTTAAATTTTGAGCTTCATAGCTGAGGAGGGATTAGAAGCTAAGATTCCCACTTCCTTTCACGTCTCCTCTGTTCTTCACTCGCTGAGGCTGCAGAAACTTTTCACAGCCTCCTTAGGATTTTACCATCCTCGATGTCATGTGCATCATCTGCAACCCCGATTCTTCACTCTTGAAACCTACAGAATGTACCCATGCCAAATAGCACTGCTCCTAATACTCTAGACCTTTGAGGGAACCTGAAATTCCCATACATACCATTTGACTGAACACAGGAACGATGCAATACAATTGGCATTGCTTGCTGCTGGGGTTTAGAGTCTCTCTCTCTCTCTCTCTCTCTCTCTCTCTGTGTGTGTGTGTGTGTGTGTGTGTGTGTGTAGAAACTGCAGTTCTGGACAAGAATGAGAAAGCTGAGCTGTGAGCTGAAGGCAGCTCCATTGACGCAACTTGTCTCTCTGATATGAGATAGAGGATTTGTTGCCCTCTGCATTTGCAAAGACACAAAATATTGCCAGAAATAATGCTGTAAGTCCCCGGTTCTCTTTCCAAACCAAATCAAGGTAGTACTGCCCTCTCATCACACAAAGAAGTGGGGAGTATGTACTACTGCACCATTGATTCCCTAGGGATAGGGAACCTCTATATGTTGTTGGACTACAACTCCCAGCTGCCCCAGCTAGGGATTATGGGAGCTGGGCCCCAACAACACATCAAGGTTCTCCATTCCTGGTGTACACAGTCTTATTACGTTACACAGGCAAGTCCTTGGCGCAGAGGTGCTTACAGTGGAAAATATATGCTTTCGTGAAATCTGTATTCCATGCATTGCCAATATGCCACTGCTGCAGAATGCATGTTAACTAGCAGCAGCGATTTGAATCTGACCAGGATGCAGATACAGACATGCGCACACCGCCCCTCAGCTGCAGCCCATTTTTAGGCTTTACTTGCAAGCACATTCACACAAACATTCGAGAAAGAGCTTCAATCTGTCACTTTGTGCACATACTTGGACAAGAGCTGAGCCCAATGTTCGGAGGAGGGTTGGCAAATTGGTAGGAGGGGAAAGGGGAAAGCATGGAAATGGAGAATGTCGATGACCTTTGAGGCACTTGCAGGATTTTTTTAAAAAATCTGTTAACAGTCAGAAGCAGCAGTAGTCAAAAAGCTTCTTTAACGCCACCCTTGCTTGCTTGCTTGCTTGCTTGCTTGCTTGCAACCATTTTTTCCCTGCATTTCTTACTCACAGCAGTGACAATCCTCAACATTTATCTTCC